CGTTCTTTGATATTTGGCAAAAAATTGGATTTCAATAGTTCCTTTGATTAATTAAAGGAATTTGAAACCATGCAAGTAATTGGGAAAATAACAAATTGATCATTTAAGAAAAAACAATAATATGTATTTAATAATTGAAAATTTTGTCTTTAAAATAACATTAAAAATAAATATCAATAAAACCAAAATACTCAAATGAAGAAGAAAATAATCAATGAAAATCAAAATAATTTATTCCTGTGTGTTATCACGGCAGAAATTCGTCTGATTGTGAATTGCGATCCACTAAATCGTCGACAAGCTAAGAGAAGAGATAGCTTTTTAAAAGGCACAGCATCAATTCAACGTAATACTCAAAAATCTTTTCCTTCTTCCTGACCAAACATCTACAACACTACATAAGATAGGAAAGTTTCTAAGTTTCTGTTTGATATTTGCTATGTATTCCATAAATTGATTGTTAATTCTTTGGATAAACTTTTTCGACTAAGTGTTTAATTTTAATGTTTGGTCAATTATGCATTGATAAATTATTTATCAGATTTCGAAATTCAACATTTCCAACAGTATTTAAGGAAACTAAAGACGTTATTATAAATTATACCAGATCATTTTCAAGTTACTTTTAAATAGATCTATTTTTACTTCTATTGCTTTTAGTTTCAACTATATATGGAGTCGATGATTTTCGCATAATTTTAACTTTTTTGAACGTTAATATCTTTCAAAATTTTCAATTCCTTTATTGCCATGAACTTGTTTTAAATGGGATTTAAAATTTGACAGAACTGACAACTTACCTCTAACTTGTACATTTCTTGCATACTGCTGTTACGTTTCCCATCATGCTGGACTTGTTAAGTATCATTTCAAAAAAAGTACTGTCCGATAGAGCCTCTGATTCTTTCTTTCTTCATTATTTCGTTAGCAACTATGTTACTGATGGATTCATTAGACACACTAGACAATTTTAAACAATTAGTACTAGTCAATTCACCCTCTTCCTCATTCACTCATTGTTTTAATTAGTAATTGACAGTATTATTCTTTATTTCTTCAACTGTCTTCCAACAATAACGAATGAACACATTCACGAATGAGTGCTGATTCGAAGTTCAACAACCATCTATACTTCATTTCGAAATTTCTAAACATTTTTATTTGCAAAACTTGCAAGTATATCAACATAAAGTTTTGCTGTTCTTACAAAATAAGATAATTCAGATTTTCGACTTAATTTGTAATTCGACTTAAACTTGTATAAGATTTTATCACTTCAAATATTTTATCTAGACTTCTCTGACTGATTATATATATTTTGCATCTACTACACAAGTAAGTCAAAAAAATGTATAAAATATAACATGCTTTTTTTCATTATATTATCTAGTATAATTTATATTAACTATTTACAAAGCGAACGATAAGTGACGATACATTAATATCACACTAAATTCACATCAAACCAACTGGATCAAACAAATATTATTAATTCAAATTCATGAAATAATTAATTAACTATTCCCATTTTTTCCAGATAGTGGAAACCAATCCACTCTACCACAAGCAACATGGTTATCAATCGGTACAACAATTTCTATACACCGACGTCAACACCGAGATCTTGTTGAATGCGTGGCAAGAACTTGGTTACAAATATGTAGATGTCAACTCGAACAATCAATTGGGCGTGACGAAAGTGCAAATGACCTCCGCCAATGGAACACGTCAAAGCACAAACGATGCTTTCATACGACCCATCAGATACGAACGCAAGAATTTCACCATTAAAATTGAAGCGTACGTCACGAAATTACTCGTAGACTCCAAGACGAAACGTATATTAGGCGTCGAACATACTTCAAAGACCAAAACCAACGAAACTAAATTAAACACAGTTTTTGCTAGAAAGGAAGTGATTCTCTCAGCTGGATCTATTAATTCTCCTAAAATTCTTATGCTCTCTGGAATTGGG